GTGATGAACCCGGCGAATGCCTACATGCATGCCATGGCTATTGCATGCAGCAAGCAAGCAGATTTCAGCTGGACATCCAGCCAAATGCTGACACCAGGCAAAAAGGAGTGGCTAATGCCTCCCTTATTCCATTTTCCCTTTTCTCCCACTCCATCCTGCTCCCATACAAAGCAGCCCCAAGTTACGCTTCACTGCAGTTAAGTTCCCATCGCCTACAACAGCAGACCACCAAGGGTTGGCCATATCCCCACTGCAGTGGCAGAAACCCAGGAATCCTGCGTCCATCCCCCCAGATCACCCCATTAGCTACCAGTCAGCAAACGCAGGCTTCCTACCAGCATGGCAGTGCCTCTACAACCTCCCCTGCCCTCCCCAAAGTTATTAGCAGCTTTTTTGCATTTCTCAGAGAGCTTGGGTTAGGGAAACGCAGCAGGAGCCGGCTGGTCTAAACAGATAACCTGCCTCAAATGAAGTAAAACCCACAAATACCTTGAGCTGACAAGGAGAAAAAGGCAGTCACACAGGAGCAGGTCTTATGAAAGAGGGTTCCTCCCACACACTGCTCCTTCCTGAGACTGGAAGGCAGCAGGTGACAGCAGCTGCATCCCTGGTCCTGCCACCACCAAGCAGGAGCGAGAGAAAGAGGGCAGGTCCTAAATTCGCCCTCGGCACGTGCAGAGGTGATGGGATGGAGGCACTGGGTTGCTGCATGCACCCCACTGCTCAGAAGCAGGTCAGATGCATCTCCAGTGCAGGCAGCCCCCATTGCCAGCCACCTCGGGTGGGCTGTGCAATTACACTGCACAGGTTTTTTTAGTATTACTAGCCAGTATTTTAAAACGTCCCAGGTACATCTCTGTTTAGCTCACAGTTCAGGAGTATGCAGCATAAGGTCACCACAGACACGTTTTGCTACAAAGCCTGAAAGAAAAAAAAATCCCTATCTAAAATATTTAATGCTTTAGCTGATTTTCAGTCCTCCCTTCCACAATTGAAGCAGAGACGTTTCCAGACTTCCACCAGGTGAAAAAGTTCAATTTGAAGACCACCGCATGCCACCTCTGGACCCCAAATGCTGGACCTGTGACCCTACCGCCTCTGACACGTGTGTCTGAGCCAGGCGACTGATGTTGGCATTCTCTGCTGAGTAATTTCTGAACAATTTCAGCCTGTTTCTGTCTGGTTTATGCTAATCTGAACACATTCTACAGCTGTTCTCATACCAGCCTGCACGGGGCAGTGTGCTGGCCTGGGTGGGCTCACTGCAGCCCGGGGCCACTCCAAGGCCCAGACACACCAGACCCCCCAGCTCTGGCATTTAACCTGAGTGGGACTGTAGGAGCTGCATTTCCAAGCGGCTTCTGAAGCCAGCATTGACCAGCTGAGGAAGAGACTTTACACTGCTTCTGGTTGGGATTTCTGAAGGCAGACTTCAGAACCAGGTCTTCAAATGCTGAGAGGGAAATCCATCACTTCCCTGTACTTCCTGCTCCATCAGATCGAATCACTTGTACTCACTTCTAGACTCCTGACTTTAGACCTCCATCTCCCATTTGCTCTGCCTGGGTACGCTGAAAGGGAATCAGTGAGGAGCTTGCTCTATTAATACATCTGCACTCCAGAAAACCGCTGAATGTAGAGGCTATACGTTACAGCCCAACTCCTTCCTGCCCATTAATCTGATCAGAAAGGGAAGGACCGAGCAGTGCCCTATGAGCCGGCTAGACCACACGAGACCAAGCCTCTGCCCCTGCTCCTTCGTGTAACCCCTGCTCTTTGCTGGCTGGGGCTCCAGACCTAGGGCAGTGATGGCCCTGGCGATGACACCCACGGATGCCGCTCCTGTCCCCTCACTGACTGCTCCTTTTTGCCTGCCCTCTCGCAACACGTAAGCGATATGACACATGGACCTAGGTGCTGCCTGCAGGCCATGAACCTTCTGTGAGCCAAGCACAGCTGCAAGAAAAACCACTCCCCTGCACAAGAAGCATGTATAAAAGTGAAATCCTACATGCAGACTGTTTTGTTCTTAATCTGGGGACAGGTCCTTATCAGCAGAGAGGGTCAGCGAGACCTGGAACATCTGCTTTTCATGATTTATTTTGTCTTTTTAGCTCGTATTTCCTACACTGATCTCACTTTGACTGACAAAAGCTAAGGGGTTAAGCTTAGTCTGGACTCTTCCCCCAGTCTTTTGCTTCTATTAGACTAAATACTGGAGGTGTAATTATGGGCAGGAGAAAAATGAGAATGGCGAGAGAGGATTTGGTTATTTTACCTCAGTAACAAAAGTGCAAATCATCTCATTCGCATATATTAAGTAGGGGAGATATTTTTTTTTTTTGCTCTGAGCGCTGTCAGGGTGCCATTTGGAAGGGATACAGGGGCAGATGCATCTCCCTGAAGTCAGGGTGGGGCAAGCTGTAATAGCCAAGCAGTCCCTGGGGAAAAGCTGTCCTGGGCTCGTGCCCCCTCCTTCCCTACTGCTGAATCAGGCTCGAGCAGCCGCAGCTCCAGCTCCCCTTCCCGAGCTCTCTTCTCTTGGGGGCTTAAGTGATGAGTAGGGGAAAATCCCCCACTAAAAGATTTGCATTGGAAACCCTTGGCTGAGAAATGACTTTCAAAATAGAAAAGCTTTGCTTGAAAAGGGATGAACCATGTAGCATAATACTCAACAAATCGCCTGTTTAATGGCCTCTCTTTATAGCAGCTGTGCATTAATAACAAAAGCGGGGTAGCAGAAGCCATGCGCTTCTTTGTAAGATTAAAATAAATACTATTTCATACTAATACCAGCAACTTTCTGTGGAGGTCGACTAAGAGAAAGGAGCAAGTAGAAGACCATGGCCTGAGATGCTTGCTTGCTTTCCCCTCTTTCTACTGCTGGATGAGGGAGTACAACTCCCATCTACAAGGGGAGAAGAATATACTCTGAATCAGCCCTCCCAGACTGTGGCTTGGTTTATAGTGGTTTATTGCAGTCTTGTCTGTACACAGCATGACACCATTGTAAGACAGGAGTAATTCTGCCAGGACTAAATACCTTACAGAAAACGAGGTTGGGGAGAATTATAATCTAACTTGCGTTTTACCTTGCAAGGCGTAACTCAGGATCCCTCCTGCACAGACTGAAACAAGAGTGGTTCATGCTGGACGTAAGAAGAAACATTTTCATCCTGAGGCCCGTAAAGCAGTGGACCAGGTTGCCCAAAGAGGCTGCTCAGTCTCCATCCCTGAGGGATTTCAGACCCAACTGGATAAAGCCCTGAGCAACCTGGTTTGACTTCAGAGCTCACCTTGCTTGAGCAGGAGGTTGAGCTAGATGCCTCCTGACGTCCTTTCCAGCCCAAGTTATCGTATGATCCTAGGAACATTTGGCATCTTTTCCAATGGCATAGGAACGGACGCAAGATTTCAAGCAGCCGCTACTCCACCTCTCATTCCTGGCAGTCCTGATAACAGCTCTCCCCCTCCACACCCCGTACGTTGCCAGGCCTGGCACTAAAGCAATGCTGAGTCCCTCCTCAAATTAGGACTTCAGGCATTAAAAAATAAAACCCAAGAAATTTTACATTTTCAAGCTGTCTGCCACAGACTATTTATCAGACATGGAGAATGATTTGTTTCTGTTTTCCTGGGCATAGGTTTTTAGCTGAGACAAGATACGTTGCCTTGCTGAGAGCTGAGTCACCGAGTAATCAACAGATTAATGTATTCAGTTCGAAAGCCATCAGCATTAGTTCTCGGCAAGCTCACAAGAACTCCATTATGGTATCAGCTCTACATTTGGGATGGAAATGTCTCCAGGATTTAGAGTTCCTGTGGGAAAAATCCCTAGGTGCAAAGAAAATCAAAATACTCCTTTGCAATTTGGAGAAATAAGGCACCTCTTCATACAGTAACACAACAGCAGGATTTTGGCATCCTTTCTAGCGAATGCTTTTATTATCAACCCTCAGATAAGGAGTTTGGGTATGTCGTACATCTGTCATTTGACAGCTACCTAAAAATAGTCATGATAAACTCAGTGGCATTAAAGACTTTGCTTTTACCAGGTCTTTAATCTGAAATTATTTTATTTCCAGTGAAACCAAGTAGTTTTATTTTCTCTAGGATGTGAGCATGCAATAAGAGGATGGTCTTGACTTCTCCGGGGCTCTGAGTTTCTCTGTGTGGGCTTGGTCGGAGCCAGAAATGCAAAGAGGAATGGCAGAGGCTGGCAGAGGCACCTCACAGAGGAGCCACTGTTTAAAAATAGGGAGCTGGTTAAAGTGACAACAGAGCAGCAACTGTAAAAGGACAGGCTGGCTTAGGTGTGTGGCATGAGAAGGCTGCCAGACACCACACAGTTATTCTGATAAGACACATGCTAAAGCTGCTGCCTAAGACCCTGTCCATACCAACCTCACTGGTTATACATCCCCTTGTTCGCAAACGCAACCACTGTTTGGGCACACTCAAATGGTGGGGATGTGAATAAAAGCCAGTCAAACCCCCGCAAAACTTAATCCTAAAAGCTTTCCTATGTTATCAGGCTGTTGGAAGGGGTTTGAATAGCAGCAAGACTTCTCTCCAAGACATTTCTCCTTGCAGCCTGTGTGCCCAGCACAGGCACAATAGACAGGACGCATGTTCTCGCTGTTTCCCCAAGTCTACCTGTACCTTTGTCCAGGCTGTCCCTAGACAAGAGATTTTTTTTTTTTTTTACTGGCCTGGGTAGTTCCAGGGAATAAGAGATTGTGGCTGTCGTGACACAGAGGTGCCCAGGGCTGTAATTCCTAGCATAGGTGTAAAACTGGCATGGCATATACAGTGGTGCCTATGTCTCTGCTGGTTGCTCAAAATGCATGTGCAACAGGCATTCAACGGTGATGTAAATCTTTCCCCCCTCCCTCCTTTTCCCTCCAAGATATTCAGAGTGTGCAAATGCCTCCCGTTTGTGCTCTGGAGTCTCCAGGAGCTCAGTTCTTTGTACCAAAGCAATGGCGATTTTAACTTACCCGTCGTTCCTTATCACCGTATTCGATGCCCAGGGTATCCATGGCACGGACAATAGCTGCCAGTGACTGTATAGTGTTGCTGTAGACCACTGGCTTGTACTGCTTCACGTCTTCTCCAGAGAAGCCATCCTCGTGGATGATCCTGAAGAAAACGCAAAGGACAAAAACCTCTTGAGAATGTCATTTCAATGGGGGAGACATTTAAAAGAGAGCTGTGCTCTTTTGAAGAGCACATCTGCTAGCTCCATTCACTCAGCGCAGTCAGCATTTCTTTTCAAACCTTTCTGGTTGTTCACCAGTAGTGTGTCTGAGCCCAGTGCCTGGGATTAGCATCTCTTTTCCTTCCTCTCCAGCAGGTTTTGTGCAGAGTCGGCGCATACGGTACCTCCCTCCCAACCTAATAGTGAATGCCGTAGCCTGGACAGCCTCGTGTTCCAATCCTTACAGCTGACAGTGGGGAGGTCCCCAGGTCTTACATTATCTTGCCTGTCAAGGTCTACGGAAGCATGTTCAATGCTTCCAGTGACCATCAGAGCAGACCCTAACCACTGAAACAAGTGGTAGAAAACCCTAGTTCTTGTCTAGTCCTGTTTACATTAACTCCTAGGGTGTCTTACAAAAGAAACCAGAGTTGAAACACCCCTGTACACATGGGGACACAGGCATGGATGACGCAGTTGTGTAGCACTTGAAGTATTTACAACCTTTCACACCTCCTCCCTCCTTCCCCCTCCTTTAAAAACAGCACTGGAAGTTTTTCTGCCTAGAGGCACGTCCTGTTATCCCTTCCTGAAGCAAGGTGGGAATGAGACCCACAGTCCTATCAGCTCTGCGTGACAGATGCTCTGTGCTTTAGTCTCTATTAAACTCCACAAGAAGAACTATTTGATGGAGCGAGTTCTTGTAGTCCCTTGCTCAGGTCAGAAGACTCACCTCTATAATTTCTTCATCTCTAAGTAGCTCATGAACTAAACCCATGTGTGTGTAGAAAACAGCTAGGATTTGCAGAGCTAATTGTGTTTGACAATAATTCTTCCCAGTGAAGACCTAAGTTATGATCCTGTCTCTTAAATATTGGCAGAGAGGATGATCTGCTTAGCTGAAATAAAGTCTTTGCTTGCTCATCCTCAGATCTCGCTGGACAACAGAGAGTCCTTCAGTTACAGACCTGGTCACTGATAAAAACTAGAACCCCGTCTGTAACAGGACTTTTGTTTCCTTTTTCGCTAAATCAGACACACACAAACCAAGGTCCTGACCATTGCTGGCATCCCCGGGGAGAGGGAGCACTGGCGGGGATCACAGCGAGGTTGCAATGGATACAGTGCTGGGATGGCAGCGGAGATGGGGCTGGATGCCAGCCCCGTGTTAGTAACAGATGAATACACGAAGAACAAGGCTGACAGAAACATGCTGACAAAGAGGCAGATCCACTTCCCGTGGTGTGAAGCTCACGGCAAGGTTTCCTCACACAAACGATCATCTTCCTGCTCTCCCCACCACCACCACGACTCACTCGCCACTGAACACTGAGCTCCCGGGAGGAGCTGCTCCAACACCCTCCAAGTCCTAGAAAAAGATGACTACAAGCGAAAACAGCCCAAGAAAGGCAGTAGTTTAGACTAACTGGTGGCCAAGAAATTTTTAAGCGACTGATTTGAGGAACCGAGCAGAGTCTCCTGGAAGGGGGAATGGTGCTGGCGAGCCAGAAACAGCACGAGGGGGTGCTGGTTTGTCTGACTAAGAGCAGGGGTGGATGAAAACCTTTCTGACTTAGTAAATCTGGACTTACCAATTTGTCAAATTGTTTTCTGTAGCTAGTGTTGATTTTGATGAAGAGTTACAGGCAATAGCAGACCTTGTACTCTGTAGCTGTTATTTTGTGTGAATCCAATGCTTGTGACAAGGTTTGGAATAGCAGCATTTGAGTAATGTGGAGGGAGGGGGGCCCGCAGAGCCGTGTCTCGGCACTGGATCTCATGGATCATCTACCATTACTCAGACAAGTTGCTGAACTTCTGGGAAATGTGTTTTGTCAAAAGTTGCATTCAAACCTGAAGAGTTATGGCTGGCACAAAGCACACGGATCTGTATCAATCCTGCCTGGATTCAAAAGAGACTGCACAGCACCGAGTCCTCCCAGCTACAGGCACAACAGCAAGAAGCTCAGCCAAGCAGAGGTCCTGGGGGAGGCAGGCCTGCCCTTAGCAAAAGCATCAGCAGCAATAATTCATTCTTTCTGGTTGGTTGGCTCAGGGTTGGATTTGGGGGCAGGGGGGACTAAATGGTGGTTCTGGGGCAACTAAGAGAAAGAAACCTAAGAGGGGGATAGGAGAGGGTCGAGAAGAGGACAGGCACAAGGATGCAGCTGAGATGTGTTTGGTCCAGCCGCTGGCCTTGCTGGTGGAGATGGGAGCGGTGCCCGCGCCTTGCGCCGGCTTCATCTCTGCCTTCCACTGACAGGCATCAGCTAGGGACCTGCTGGAGCAGAAAGAGGGCAGGACAGCTGTACAGGGCAAGAGGTGAGCTTCGATCTTTTTGGAGTTTAAACTGTCGCTGCTGGCCTTGTGCCATGAAGTTGTTGCCTGACATTTTCACTTCTAAATGCTCAGTGTTTCTAAATCCTCCAAGTCGGCAGTAAGTTCTCTATGAAGTAACAGGGCTCCTTGTCCTGAAGGGGCAGAATTAAATGATGGAGAATGTCTCTGGGATCCCTCAGAGAACATGCTGCTGGCCGGGCAACGCACTGACATCGTTCACAGCACAGACATAAAAGCATTACTTTTAAAGGGGGCAGAAAAGAGCGTGGAGAAAAAACACCCCGATTGTTCTTGTGTGAAATCTCTCCGGGAAGGCAGCCACGGCGACTGAAAGCAGCACTGCGGATGCCAGGATTGAAGTTTTGCTGCAGGAAGTACCCACGGATTAATCAGTCATGCAGTTAGCACATTACCTAATATCTGAGCGGGCAAATCCCCACTGACTACTGCCGTTCCAAAGCCTGCTAGGACACCATGAACTGGTTTATTGTCCTACATGCTTTTAGCAAATGTTTCTCCTCTTGCTTGCCATGGCGATCTGATGGCTGAACCCCCGTGGCAGCTTCTTCCACGGCCCTTTGGAAATGTTCATGCTGCCACTCACCCATTTGGGATACACCTTTCTTCTGGCCTGCTATTGTGCTTTACTGCCTAAAGGCCATCCAAAGCTCCAACAGGCCCCGTGGGATGTACATTGCTAAGGGGGATGGCTTGAGCCAGCTTGCGTGCCGCGGGACGCAGGAGGCAGTGGGGTTTGGACACTCCGGTGAGCTGCGGCCATCAAAAAATGCACGGTGTGTAGGGACCAGTGGAAGTGAGCAGCGCTCAAGGCTGGGAAGTCTTTAAAGGTTCAGGCAGGGCGGGCTATTCCTTAAGCAACCCGCAAATTAATGGGAACAGAGGTTTTTCAGCATTCAAAAGGTGAATCCTCGATTTTCTAAGTGGCTTGTATTTTTTCCTGTGTCTGAAATACAAAGGAAACTGCTGTGGGCAGGTTCCTCTTTGCCACACTACAGCTGGTCCTCTCCAGGGCAAAGGAAGAAAAGGGATTTAAGAGGATCCCCGGGGGCTGTGGAGGGGGGAGACAGTTCTGTAATTTAAAAAAGTGATTCTGAGCAATTAAAAAGCCATTTCATTCACTGAGTGACTAATGAAACACCGTGCTCTGAATGGAATGGCGAGCGACAACTGAATCAACCTGATTGTCTAATGTACCTATTAATGCCTGCTCCCTACCCCTCAGCTGCTAACAGCAAAACCCATATGTCTGCATGTTACACTGTCATACTCATTTTAGAATGGCATTAAGGAACAGGTATTTGCTGGGGAAAATGGCTCCACCGCAGATCAGATCTTCTGCCACCCCCCAGCAAGTCATTAATCCTGACGAAGTGTCCAGTGCCTCAGCGATTATTGCTTAATTACAAAATAAATTAAATACTTGGAAACAGGGGGTGCATTCTGCGTAGCAGCTTGCTTTGGCTTCCGTTCAACAAAGCACTTACATGCCTTCAGCCTTTCACTACGAAATGCACATATTAAAAAGGCAAAGCCAAGGATAACTTTGCCGGGTGTCCCCACTGACACACGCTGCCCCAGCAGTCGTCTGATGGCACCTCCAGCACTGTGGGGCTAACCCAAGCAAGGACCCAGTCTGCCTAGGTCACTCCAGAGGGGAATACTTGTCCATCTGTCCTGAAAACCTCCTGGAGTAGAGGCTATGGTTTCCCCTCCTGTCCCTGCTTCAGTCCCAATAAGCTATTCTGGCCCTTTCCTTCCAGCCCTTCCAACCAAAGTCAGGC